TAGTGTTATTATTTCCACTGTAAACATGAAAGCAGACACTCATTATATGCCATCACTCAACATTAGGGTCTCCCTATCGCCCCTTTTCTTTCCCTGGCATCCACCTCGGAAAAGCTCCCCTTTTCAAGAGCCAGGACGAACTGGCTGCCAGGCAGCAACAGGTGGGCTTCCAAACTCACCCAGAGAAGCCACAGGCCGGGCCCTGCCACGCCGAGGTATCCAGCCATGGTACAGCCCCCGTCGCTCTCCCTCGACTTCACGTCCTGAACCCCGGGCCAGCAGCAGCAGCAGCGCCCCTTTCTGCTCACTCTCCGGAAGGGAAATAGCGACTTCGTTTGGAGCGCCTGGGCTCTTAAGCCAACCCCTTTCCTGCTGGTGGGGAGTAACAAAAACAGGGCTGATCACCAGCGGCGGGGGGAGGAAGAGGGACACCGAGGGGCGGGGAATACCGGCCTGGAAGGGCGCACCAGGTGGGTGCGGGAGCCCCGCCCCGCCCCTTCAGCCAGGCGTCTGCGGAACCGCCAGGGGCGGAGGCGGCGGGGTAGCTGTTGGCTTTTGCCCTTTCGACGAAAGGCTGCCTTTGCACGAAGGCACGCCTGGCCTTTCTGGGTTTAAGGTGCGAGGCTGCTCCTGCGCGCTTCAGTGCAACTTGAGATCCTTTTGCCTCCAACGCGGCCTAGGGCTGCCCGGCGGCGGCCGACCTCTCCCTCTTTCTCTCCCGCTCTCCAAGTCGCTTGATACTGCTTTACTCTTTACCGTCCAGGCGGAATTCCTGATCCTTTCCCTTCCCTGTCCGCAATCGCATTGATTGAGCGTTTGGAGCCGTCTTCCTGCTTTGTGAAGGTTTATTCGGCTGCAAGAAAGACGCGCTCCTGCTCGTCTCTCTCCGTCTTCAGTCGATTCCACCGAACATAATGAAGCGCCCGGAGGGTGCTTGCCCAGGCGCGCAGCGCGCTCCTCTCCCCCTTTCGTAACCCAAGCAGTCTCATGCAAACCGGGAAGGGGAGCGGGGAGAGAAATGGGAATTATAAAGGATATTTAAAACATAGCAGCTTCTTTTTCAGATTATAGACCTTGTCTTGGTGAACTAACGATCGTTTGTAGTACCGGCTGCGGCTTGAAAATGTTAAAGCTTGTGGGCGAGGGCCAAATTGCTTTGTTTGCCCTTAGTGGTTGACACGCTGCATCTGAACATGGATGGTTAGTTTACTTATAATTCTTCAAACATTCCATTTATGCTTGTGGCTGTCATAAATTCAGGCTGGGTTAACGTACTTTGCAGGTCAAAAGAGGTTCACTTTCGGCAGTGAGAGGAGGATGCTGGACGCTTAAGTAATTTCTTCATGGCAAACTGTAAGGACTCTGTGTTTAGCTCATTGCTGTTTTGAATTTGCTGTTAATAAATTCCCTTGGATGAGTTGCGAGTGAAAAATGCCTCCATTTTCGTTCTCTGCCTGCTTTTCTTAATATTAAAAAGTCAATTAAAGAAGGAAAACGTTATCTCTTGATAGTAAAGCTTTCTTTGCTGAATGGTATTTTCTCTGCTTAGTTATGATTTTTCCCTGAAGTATAACTCAGCCCAATTTCTGTAGGAAAGCTGTTTCAGCCTATTGACCTAGGTTAATTCCTGAGAGCCAGTTTGGTGTAGTGGTTAAGGCACCAGGCTAGAAACTGGGAGACCTGAGTTCTAGTCATGCCTAGGCACAAAGCCAGCTAGGTGACCTTGGGCCAGTTACATTCTCTCAACCCTAAACCTTGCCAAGAAAACTTCTGGGACTTGTCCAGGCAGTCTCCAAGAATCAGACCAAAAACAAAAAACAAAAAAACCCCTCTTCCTAGGTTCAACACAATCATGTATTCTTAATAGATCTTAAATTCATCCAACAAGGTATGTTTTGTCACTAATACCAGCTCAGGTGGTAAGGACAAACAGAACTGAAAACAACAAAATGGATCTACTAAAAACAAGGGGAGAAGTTTACAAAACTACAGTTTTAAAAAATGCATCCAGACTAGGGTTTTTGTTTCTTTTTTATCTGGCACTGGTGATAAAATCTCAAGTTCAAAATGATTTTGCCTGTCATACAAACTAAAGAATACATTCAAAGATATATTGATGACCATTATACTGTTGGCAAATAAATTTGTAAAGGCAGGTTCTGCAAACTTTTATTGATCAACCATTCAGTTACATGAATATTGCACAGATGTATCATGTAGAATGCATTTGAAGATATCTTGTTATGATTATGGCGTTGGTACATACACATGTAATCAACTGGTGTGCAGAACTCACTAGTGAGCAAACACTTAGTGAGCAAAAAAGGAACAAGAACCCTTGATACTTAGAGACTGTTGAATACCTGCTGGATGAATAAAATTAAAAAGTGTTGGGCAAGAAACTTATGCTAAGTCATAAAGGGCTACAATATCAGAGGTGCAAAAAAATCCAGCTGACCCATAATGGCTGCAAAGGGATAGAAAAAATGTGAACTCTGTTGCCATCTAGAAGTTATTTGGAGTTGTATAGCCTAGTTATAGTAATCCTAGTTTACTTAGGTTTAGAAAGCTGAGGTCACATATTACATTAAGCCAAAACCATGCAAACCACAATGGTATAATGGGATTTTTGAACCCTGACATTCAGATTTGTAAACCACAGAATGTTTTTGTAAACTTGGGATTTTGTGGGTGGATTTTAAGCTTGGAATTTTGTGCAAATCTAGCCATTTGTGACTAACCATGATTGTGCAAACTCTGTTTGGCTGGTTAGAAGCCTGAAGTGAGGCACTGCTTTTCAGTAGTAATGCTAACATTTCTACATTTTGTTACAGTTTATGCTGGTCTTCTTAATGTTGCGGATATATTATACTAATCTATTTTGAAAAATTGTACAAAATTTTTCTTTGCAGCATCCATCCTTAAAATTTAGAATGAATGAATGAATGAATGAAT